TCATCCATTCCAAACAAAACATCATGAAACATTAAAATAAATTTCACAATGTACTATGGATAGTCAAATCACATCAAAAAATACCAAAAATGTTTCCAAAACAAAAACCTCCTAAGGGTCTTGGGGGACTGGGATGCTAACCTCGACGTCTTGGTCCGCAGGTGATATCCGGACTCCAACAGCCTCACATAATTTTCCTAGCTCCTCCCTCTACTCGTTTAGTACTTTGTCCAGAAAGGTAGCATCAAATTCTGGCCTATCCCTTCGGATGTGTCTTATCAATTCCTCTAAGGCCACTATATAGGCATCCTGGGCCAAAGCATCGAACTCTAGAGATTCCCTCCAAATCTCCAGAGCCCTGGTGGCCTTGGCCTTAGCCTCCTTTGCCCTCTTTATTACCTCTTGTGCCCTTGCATTGGCCTCCTCCACCTTTTTAATGGCCTTCACAGTATGAGAACGCTCCTTGGCCACTTCTGCCCTCAGCTCTTCCGCCAGAGCTCTCTCCTCTTCAGCTTTTTTCTTTTCCGCCTCAGCCCTCTGGTTGGCTCTATCTCCCCAGATCTTCAAAGCCTCAACCTCCTCCTCAAGCTTTTGTTCTGAGGTCAGCCTCGCGTTCAGCTCGTCGCCCATCTTGTTAAGCTTGTCTTCATATTTCCTCTCCTTTGCTACGAATCGAGCTCACTCCGCCTCCATGCTGTTATAAAGATTCAGGGCTTAATTCTTGGTCTCCAAAAGTTTGTCCAATTCGGCCTTAACCTAACAGCAGAGGAAGAGGTGAGTTAAGGCTGGTAAAAGATAAAGACACTTTCTAAGCATAGAAAAAGTAAAAAAAACTACCTTATCCGCCACTGCCATCATATATAACACAGAGCGAAGAGAATGGAGTTGAGCAGTAACTATCGCTTCTGCAACAGGCATCTCTACAAGATAGTTCTGCTCTCGATCAACCCAACTTCTCGTAAGAAGGTTGGCTGATTCCCTTAGTGGAGGAGGGAGAGAAGTCATGGACTCCCTCAATGGGGAAGGAGCCCGAAGATAGTCCAGCAAGACCCATAAGGCCATCCAAACTTGGACTTTGAAGATCAGGTCACTTGTCTTGTAGGCGAGCTGAGCTGGATGGTGTAGTAGGCACAGACTGAGAAGCAGGAGGGACCTGCACAGTCACAGAAATTTGGGGTAAAATTGGAGGTGAGCTCGGGGTCGCGCCCATCGGAGAAGAAGTCGGCGGAGTTGTTGTGGGAGACATGGCCTCTCGTGATACTGAAGCTACCGGTGTCCCAGATTAGTTTCTCTTAAGGAGAGGGATATCCTCTTCATTCTCCTTCGAAGCCATGTCAATCATTGGAAGGACATCCCTTGCCTTCCTCTTGGCGGCCTTCGCAGCCTCATACCCCAACATTTCTGCTTGATGAGCTGATAACAATGGATACATGTAATCAATGCCTAGTAAAAAAAAATAATAATAACAATAATAATAAATAAATTGTTACCTGGGTCAAACGAAGTAGAAGCAGCCGCCCTAACGTCAACCGGGCTCGATGTCCGCACTGAAACTAGACCTGCCTGAAATAAGTTCGAATCTGATATTACGAACTTACAGGACCTCTGCCTCTTTGGCAACACTCTTATCACTTAGGCTCGCTGTTGTATGTCCTTAGTCAAGGTCTCCTTTTTATAATCTACCAAACATGACAAAAGTCAATATCACATCAGTGCATACCTCATCAAAGAATAAATTATAAATTACTTACACAACGAATGGTAGAGTCTAGGGACCACATCCTCTCTGTTCACCTCGGAATGATGAAACTGTCATTCCCTAGACACGTAAAAGAACTCTTATTTCCATTTTTTGATTGAGGACGGAGTATCTAAGACTAGTGAGCGTCTAGTTCTCGACCTAACATTGGTGTACCACCAGCCGGAGTTCTTCCTATCTTCTTTAAAGGTGAAAGGGGAGTTAAATTGCTTAACAGTTAGCTTGGGGTTCCCTAACCTGTCCCAAAGAATGAGGGTGGCAATTAATGTTCGCCACCCGTTTGGACATAACTAAATGGGAGCTATTCCCCAGAATGAAAGGAATTTACGAATTATTTTAGGAAATGGAAGCCTATGCCCGGCCTGAAGAATGGATGAGTTCAGAGCGACACATCCCTCCAAAGGAGCATCAGCTCGGTCAGACGGTTCAGGTATAATCATAATAATCAAGCTAGAAATAGCGTATTTAACTTGCCAGCATATCACCCGAAACCACAGACTTGTAAGAACTGGCCCCCCCATTCACCTGAGTCATTCCCCTCACAAAACCCAACTTTCTCTCTCCTCAAATCCTCACCTCCTGACTCTATAATCATGGGATGTCCTAGGTCTATCGGATTAACTACTAAGATAGGGTTGGTTGTTAAGATTTCCTGGCAACTATTAGGAGTGGACGGGACAGATTCTTCTTGATTATTCCCCCAGGAATGCACTCTAGAATCGTCCGAGCTCATGCAGAAGAAAATGAATAATGGCAAATAGAAACGTGCAAAGAAAAAGTATAGGAATAGTTGAGAACTGAAGATTGACGACCTCGCTCGAGAAATAGGAAATGAACCCAAGAAATTGCCAAAAGATTTTTGGAGAAAAACTCGCTGCGCAAAGTAAAACAGTGAAATAAAGAGAGAAAAGGAATTTAAAGGACGGTCTATCCAGAAATAGAGGGAAAAATCAATGGCTCAGAAGCTTAAAAGACCAAAACGACGTAGTTTCACAATCAAGCTTGCTGAAGAAGCCATTTACAATGCCTTGCAGCTCATCCCCGTCAAAATGGTGACACTTGGCACGACAATAAATGCACTTCTTGGAGAAAGCATCAATGAAGTCAGCTCCCCCTACAGTAGAACTGACCGGGGGGGTTAACTGTTGACAACTGAACTCTAATCTAAGTTAAAACAGTTCGCTGACATCACCTCAGGCAAATGTGAGTTCGGTCCATGCTCCCAGGTTGGACAGTCCCGCCGTTATCTCAGAAAAACATCATAATTACCCCCTGTCACATCATTCTATCAATTGCATACACTTGCCACAGGTGACATCATCACCGCCTAAAACCGCCAATCCTAAGTCCTAAATCTGAAACTCCTTGTAAGTCATCATTACCTGGGAAAAACATTAACACATGGCCACTAGCCTCGTCAACCAATCACAGGAGAATTCGACGACCCGAGTTCCGAGCTTGGTACTGTAGCTGATTTGATTGATTTGATGTAATTTCGGCTGAAACTATGTATAAATAGTTGAATATGATTCTTGTAAAAGGCAAGTGAATTCATATAACAACTCAAAGCACAATTACACTTTCTCAACATATTTTGTGGTATTTTTCAACAATAAATCCCCCTGTTTCTTAAATTTGGCTTAAGATTAGCCTTACCAATTTTGAAGTCAACAATATATTATGCAGCTTTTAAATCAATTAAAATTAAAAATTTTATCGTTATTTCACTATTCTAGTCGTCATTTTTGAATTATTTTCTCATAGGTAGGACTTACTTTATCTTTAATGATCAAAAAATCAATTATTAAAATTCTTACCAAACAAGCACCTATATAATCAAGATCAATATGATTGCACAAAGAAAATACACACACAAAACGAAAGATTTATAAAGGCTCATCAAGACTACGTTCTCATTTAGCACTTCAATAATTTACTATGATCAAAATAAATTTATAAATTCACATCTCAAAGTTTAAATGTGATAACTCTCTCCATCACCCCTTATTTGTGTGATAGTATTAACTTAAATCATGTTTGATTGTGTTTACAATATAACTTAAAAATCATTGTTTTCGAAAGTATGTCTCTATACAATAATGAGACTTGCTGAAAATTAATGAAGTAATTATCGATTGACATAAATATTAAAACTAGAAGTCTACAATTCCAAATGTCACAAAGTTTGCAAATAATGCCTCCAAGGAGAAGCCTCCAAGTAATCTAAGACAAACGTGATCACCAACAATCATCAATCAAGAATTCTTATCCTTAATCATAATACATATTGAGCACTTCATTGGTAGGTGAAGTAGAAGTAAAATTGCATAGGACCAACCAGACTTGATGGGTCGACGATCTAGTAGTTTGGTTCATATTGATCGGTTAAGTCTCCTTATACGTTGATTATTTCATTTATTTGTCATTAATATGGAATTCATTCCTTCACAAACTTAACTTGACATGAACTCTGATATTTATTTTTCCCAAAAAATTAATTAAAAATAGTTGGCTTTGGTGGTTAACCTAGAGTAGGTGAATGCCGCGCGACTAACTCCGTCCAGAAATAATTTTTACCATCCAATTTCGATAATATTCAACCTGCTTAATATTTTTAAGATCACGTAGTCGAAGGTGAAATTATTAGCGTGCACGCATGTGAGGGAGAGAGGAATTATACAAATGAGTAAGTCTTGGCATTCATTATGAAACACAAGACTAACCCTAAAAAAGAACACAAATCACACCCCTTTCTCCCAATCCCACATTCCTCGAGACAAGAATGCCAGCAAATCAACATGTGACACGTGTAATCTTTTAGGACGTCTTCATAATTGGTAACCCTTATGGGCAATATTCATTTAGACATATTTTTAAAACACACGCAAGTATGGTAGATTTACGTCATGACAATTCTTTTATCATCCAAAAATGCAAAACAATTCAAAGACACACACATAGCAACTAAGTATCCATTGCAGCATGCATCATCAAGAAAATTCTAATATTCACACACACATTTATGTAATGTTAATTTGTATATATTTTATGCAAAAAATGGAGCAAAAGAGGTCGGCACAGACCCGTCCGTATAAATCTTTCGATCCCAATATTCCATACCAAAAGAGCCGTATAGAACCCACCACTCCCACGCCCACCTCCATCCCATCACCACCTCTATATATATACTAAGCTAGACATAACTTTGTCATTACAATTCACACGCATACCTCGTATTAATATAAAATTTTCAGTCCTACATAGATAATCCAATAATTCATTTGCAATAAAAGTTGTAGAAACATATAATGTCTCATCAAAGGAATATCTTCCCATTCATCATTACATGTTTTCTGTTTTCCTGTTCATGTTACAATTGCAGCCTTCATGAAGATAATTTATCTAATAATAATTATTTTCAAGAAGAATCAGATTATGAATTTGAAGCTTATCCTTCATATATTAGCACCATTGAAGGCCTCAATTTCAGAAACACAACCAAGATCAAGACCAAATTTTCTGATTATTCGACTAAGATTCGACGACGTGCAGCTTCTGTTAAGATGATGGATGTAGCAAACTTCAGAGCTAAAGGCGATGGAAGTACTGATGATACTAAGGTAAGTCCTTATTATAAGCTCGAAGCCAAAATATAATATAATAAGAGGATTGGTTATCTAGATATTCATGCATGAAATTCTTTTATAGCGGAAATAGAGATGTTAATATATATGATGTGTCATCCATTGACCTTGAAGTTGAAGGACTTGCGTGGTCGTGGCATGCCTTGTATAGTCCTTAACAATTTTTCAGTTCAAAAGAGGGATGGGATCTTAGTAGAATAGATTGTGTTGGAGATTAAATTAAAATAAATAAATAAATAAATTTATATTCTCTTTAAAATCTTAAATTTTTAACAAGGTGATTTAATATGATATAGAGGTCTTGAATTCAAGTGTCGCAGTCGCATATTCATAAAATAAGCAAACATGTCATTTCGTTCATGAAAAATGGATATGAATATTATATGAGAGAATGTATGAAGCATCCCGTCTATCAAATTAAACATTTACATTGGAGTATTTAAACATTTTTCTTATTCAAATATGAATGTGCTATGTGTATAGAGCATTTTGCCAGATTGATTACAGTGTTCCAATTGGCAATATTTGATTGGGAGTCGGGCAAAATAATAATTTAAAAAAAAAAAAAAAAAAAACAGCCATACACCTGTAAATCTGTTTGTATAGGATCCCTGTGCAACCAAATTAATCCTTTCTTATTTGCTCTGAAGACTGAGCATGTTTTTCCAGGCATTTCAGGATGCATGGAATGAAGCCTGTTCGTCCACAGCGGCTGTTACTTTAATAATACCTCAGGGAAATAACTATCTTCTGAAACCTATTAGATTCTCAGGCCCTTGTAGATCTGACATAACAGTTCAGGTATGACCAACTTATTTTTGAAAGAAAAAGTTACCAAAAGTTAATTTTAAGTACTTTTAAGCTTAGCCAAACATGCCATCAAGAAATTTATTTTACAGAAAATAATTATGCAGATTGTAGGAACCCTAGTGGCATCTAATAATCCTTCTGACTACAGTAAAGATGGAAGGCACTGGCTTGTTTTTGACAGTGTCAAAGATTTAATGCTTGAAGGTGGTGGAATTATTCATGGCAATGGAAGTGTATGGTGGAAAAATTCCTGCAAAATAGATGAATCTAAAGTAAGGGCCTGTTTGATTGGGCATTTTTTCCATGGAAAATGGACCTTTTGGTAGTGTTTGATAGCAATATATTTCCATGCAAATTGATTTTCATCTTTCCGTCACACACTTGCCAATTCCATGATTTTGTGGAAAACCAATTCTTGTTTTCCAGCCCTTTTTTATTTTTAATTTTTTTTTTGGTAATTGGAACGAATTCTATTCCTAATTGTAACAAATTTTGTCCATTTAATTGACGATTTTCATGAAAAATAAAGCCAAATGAAAATCAAAAGATAGAATATTTCAATATTTTTTAGTGAAAAATTATACCAATCAAACGCATTAAATTGACAACTCACAGGAAAACAAGTTCTATGTAATTTAATTTTCCGGAATTCGTTTTCTTTTCACCCAAATTCCATCATTGCAATCAAATGGACCATAAGAAATAATTAAATCAGAAATTATATATTGTAATTTATAAATTATTTTGTCTTTTATTTGTTTATTTATGAATTTGTTAAATTATACTTGTAACTTTTTTTTATTTTTTTCGAAATATTGATAATTTCTTTTTTTTCTTCTTCTTTTTTTTTTCCAGGAATGCAAGGATGCACCCACGGTACGTACACCTTTTTCAATTAATTTGTGCAATTATTTGCCATCAATTTAAGATATTGATTTTATATTTTCCTTAATTTTCTGTAAATACTTTCATAATAGTTGGATTATATCGTTTTTAGTTTGCCACATTAATTTTTTTTTTTTGTTCATAGCAGTACAAAATGACTGCAAAATTATTTGTCAACTGGAAATTATTTTTTGTATCGATGTAAATCCTTGACATTATTACAGGCCTTAACATTGTATAAGTGCAAAAACTTGGTAGTGAAGGACCTAAAGATTCAAAATGCACAACAAATTCATGTGTCCTTCCATAAGTGCAAAAATGTTCAAGCTTCAAATCTCACGATATCTGCTCCCGAGGGAAGCCCCAACACCGATGGCATTCATGTCACAAAAACCCAAAACATTGAAATTTCGAGTTGTACAATAGGGACAGGTATATATATAATAGTCATCTCAACTCAGTGTAATATTGATCAATTAAAAAATATTTCTTTATTCGTTTAATGCTCATTGTTATGTTAAGGTGACGACTGCATTTCAATCGTCAATGGATCGCAGAATGTCCAGGTGACAGATATCACTTGTGGACCGGGTCATGGCATCAGGTTTTGACATTCAAGACACCAAAGTTGATCTTATAAAAACGTTTATATTATTGAAAAGTAAAATTTCTTTAACTGCTTTACTATCTTGTTTTTTCAATTTTTCTGCTTAATTAGTATTGGAAGCTTGGGATATCGCAATTCAGAAGCTTACGTCTCAGATATAGTCGTGAATGGAGCTAAGCTTTCAGGAACGAAAAATGGTGTCCGGATCAAGACATGGCCGGTAAGAATTTGTGTGTATAAGATGTATTAATAGTATGTGCATGTAGGCACTTGTGCATGAACACGAAATCAATCTTTTGAAGAATTTTTAATTAATTAACATAATTTATGAGTAATATGTGCAGGGTGGATCTGGAAGTGCAAGCAACATCAAATTTCAGAATGTGGAGATGCAAAATGTGAAGAATCCCATAATCATAGACCAAAACTATTGTGATCAAGCTAAATCATGTAAAGAACAGGTAAAAAAAATGAAACCATCTTCAATAGCTCAATTTCAGTCCCCTATTTATGCTTACACAGGTTTTACACCCTCTTCCTAAATCTATATTGCATTGTTACGTTTTTAAACTACTAAAAGTACACCCATATCTCCCACCAATTAGATAGTTTATAAAGAAAAAATTATGACACAGATCAACTTTATTCTGTATGAGAAATAATCGAGTCTTTGTTTATTTCAGAGTTCGGCGGTACAAGTAAAAAATGTAGTATATCAGAATATAAAGGGAACAAGTGCTTCAAATGTAGCTATATATTTGGACTGCAGTAAGAGCTATCCATGTCAAGGGATTGTTTTTCAGAATGTTGATTTGGTACGTGAAGGAGGTGGATCGCTCAAGGCTACATGCAATAATATTGAATATTTGTATAATCTGGGAATCGTTTCACCAGTTTGTCCTCAGATACATTCACATTTTGAATCTTCAATTCGAAATGAATTAAATCTTTCTATATAGGATATTGATATCGTAGGAACATGGACAATGGTAATCTAAAAGCATACATCATGCACATAAAATCTAGACAGCATCATGCATAGTGGAATCATTGACATCGTGTTCGTATAAGTTACAAAAAAATTAAATAATTAGTTCCTTATTCATTTGAAGATAATAAGGGAGATTGTCACGTCAAGGATTATTATATCCTTGCTCTATCTGTAATATGTAATATATAAATAAAATATCCATTATGTTTCTCTCTCTTCTGATGTTAGTTATTACATGATTCGTTATTACAAACCCCTTATTTTCAAGAGTTGACACTTTTTTTAAATATAAATTATTTAGCGTTAAATACTGATCCAAATCCACTGTTACTGAAATGCAATTTTTTCTTTTTATTTTGATTTAAAGGACCCAAGTGCAACTAACATTTCCGTCTAAAAATAATTGGAAAAGGCCCCTGGTACAGGGTCAGGGTCCTGTACGTGAAGCATGGCCCAAAATAATTTTTAAAAATATACGTTATTTAATTTTAAAAATTGTAGTCAAGATTTATAATTAGTATGCTCTCTCTTTAATACCATTTTAATCATATGAAGTCTTTAATGGCAGACAAAAAGTAGAATGCCTCCAACGGTTAGTCTCAATCCATTTATGAAAAGTAAATCTTGCAACAATAATTCCTTCGAGGAGTAAAGGTTAGAATTTTTTTTCATTCTCAAACGAATAATAAATATTATTTTATATTATAATTCCACACGATATAGGATATTCATGAGGTAGGTGGTAGGCGTGTTTAGAAAAAAAAAATTAAACTTCATGGAAGTCGAAAAAGGGAGCCAAATGAAACTCTGGCAACTTCATGAAGTGGGCTACTAGTGTACATCATATAGCTTCATCTATTTTAGCTACAACTGAATCAGAGTGGAAATAAATTATTTTCAAGCTAAACTTAACTTTCGACTCATTCATGGATCTCAAATGGTTCGAAGCGGATCACCATGCTCATCTCCACTTGAAAATCCATATATTCCTTATTAGTGCATTAACAATTATGTCTAGAGGACATACTTAACTCTGGCCTATTAGAGATGGAAACTCCAGCCATGCACTGCAGGAATCCAAGATTATCACTCAAGATCTCACATATCATTCAACCCCAAAAATCACTCAACCTGCTTTAGACACAAAATAAATCAAGGATTGAAAAGCATATTAACATACCATTTTTACTACTGTGTTTATGGAAATCTTTTGGCTGTCTATGTATTTAAATATTTTAGCCTTGTACTCATGTTTTAAAAAGAGAAAAAATACACAAGAAATATACAACCTTTTTTTCTTTCACACATTCTTTACATTTCCTGCTTGGTATTAGAGCTTGTGTGAGTACAGGGCTTAACACACCCTAACATTTTTTTTTTTTTTGTTTTACACCATGACCTCTCTATCCTTAAACGTAGGCAACTTCATTACCCTCAAGCTCACTACAACCAATTATCCCCTGTGACGTGAACAAGCTTTGGCTCTTGCAGAAGTCAGGAGCTAGTTGGCCATCTCACACATGAAGAGCCTGTTCCCACCAAATACACCACACCGAATCCAAACAACACCATAGCGACAGAAAAATTTGTTCCTAGTTTAATAGAAGAATTCATTGCTTGGCAAAAGTCCGCTCGTCTTCTTCGAGGATGGATCCTTGGAACACTTTCTGCAGAAACTCTCGAACTCGCTGTTGGCTTAGACACAGCCCATGCAGTGTGGGAAGCTCTCAAAAATGCATATGCATAGGACTCATAGGAACTTGAGTTCACCTTACGACAGCAGTTGACTTACCTTCGCAAGGAGGAAAACAAAACAATTGGAGATCATATTCGCACCTTCAAAGGATTTTGTGACAATCTTGCAGCCATTGGCAAACCCGTCCCTGACCAAGAGAAAGTTTTTGCCTTTTCATCAGTCTTGGGCCTCAATATGAAACCTTCACAACCACCATGCTAAAGCCACCAAGACCAACATACACTGAGCTGATTTCACAGCTCCAAAATCTTAATCAGAGGCGCAATTGGTTTTCTAATCATGCCGATCTACCAAGTCCCCATTTTACTCCTCAATTGGCATTCTATGGACAGCAGTAGCGGCCTCAACAGCCTCTCTCTAGGTATCGTGGCAACTCACAGAAATTCACTTCCACTGGGCGAGACTTCCAAGCACAATAACCCAGGGACCATAACCAAAGCTATTCGAACGACTCCACTCCTTCAACTCATCAACATCGTCCTCCGCCGCCTAGACAATGTTGCATGACTCCCGCTGAAAGGGATCTATACCAAGTGGAACAATGCCAGTACTGTGGATTAATGGGTCACATCTCCAAAATTTGTTGGTGGATACCCAAGAAGCCGACTCAACATGATGATATACCACAAGCACTTGCAGCACTCACACTAGACAACTCCATCACAGACACTGAATGGACCTCAGACATGGGAGCTTCTAATCACATGATAGGTAAGCCAGGTATGTTAACCAACATTCGTGAATATTTTGGTATTGATTTGATTCTTACCGGAGATGGATCCTCTCTACCTATCCTTGGTATTGGTGACTCTTGCATTAAACAGAAGAATATTACCTTACCTCTTTGTGATGTTCTACTTATTCCTGACTTAACAAAAAATTTGCTCTCTGTAAGTCAGCTTATTGGCCAATTTCCTGTTAATTGTGAATTTTCTAATACTAATTTTTGTGTTAAGGAACAAGAAGTAGGAAGGCCAATAATAACAGAGAAGCGCAAGGGTGACCTCTATGTTCTCCCCACTTCAGCAGAATTGTATTTTCCCCATCGTTTAAAATTAGGATCAGCAGAATTTGATCACTGAAAAACATATGTTGACAGAGATCGGTCCCAGTTCACCAAATACTCAACCATTCCCCCAGGGTCAAGGGCGGATTACCTACTCCTCCATCCATGGACTTACGATACTTTATTCAATGCCAAAGGAGTTTCGAACCCTATTCTACTGTTTTTATTGTGTAATTTTAATTTGATTTCATTTATTCAACTTTGTCTTCGGTTTCAAATTGGCTAAGGAGATCTAGGTCTAGAAATAGATCACAAAATCAAAATGAAAATAGTTCAAATGTTTTTCAAAATGAAGAAGAAGTCGATAATGCATCAAACTTTTCTACATCTGCACCAAATTGGTTTGAATTCCTGGATGTCTGCTGAATAGACGTTGGTCAGCCCTGTTGACGTTGGTCAGCCGTGTTAGGTGGTCCCGTTGGGTGGTCCCATTTGTAGGCTTGGTAAGAACCAATCTACCCTATTCTACTGTTTTTATTGTGTAATTTTAATTGGATTTCATTTATTCAACTATGTCTTCGGTTTCAAATTGGCTAAGGAGATCTAGGTCTAGAAATAGATCACAAAATCAAAATGAAAATAGTTCAAATGTTTTTCAAAATGAAGAAGAAGTCGATAATGCATCAAACTTTTCTACATCTGCATCAAATGATTTCAATTCAAATGAATTCCAAATTGCAAAAATTGAACAACAACTTCAAAATTGGACTATTCCAAAGATAGATAAACATTCTATCTATGAAATAGGAAAATTTGATTTTACTCAAAATTATGTTATCAAAACTTTCGAACAAACTATTTCAATTAATAGTTCAAATGCATTCATCATTTTATTTTCAAAAGAATCAATTGAATCTCACAGAAAGAGATTTAAATATCGTCATGTTGGTTTAGTTCAAATTGCTGTTAAACCTTTGTTTAGACTTGGTTTAGACATTCCAATACTTATTACTCTTAGAGATAATAGACATCTCAATTTCAAAAACTCTCTACTTTCACTTCTTGAATCAAATCTTGAAAGTGGTCCAGTTTTTTCAAATTGTTATCCTAACTTTTCAATAAAACTTTCAGATGGAGCAGTTTTAAATGCTCTAAATCTTCATATTCAAACTCGAAATCTTGAGTTTGACAGTCGTTCAAATGCTTTTGCTGTTATTTACAGGATTTATTACAAACTCATGAATACTCAACACAATATTGGTGCTCTTAAATCTTCTCCAAAAGAAGAAAGTCTTTTGGTTGAAGTTAATCCTTTTCATTCAAGTGTCGAAATTCCTAAAAGAATTCCTTGGAATCTTCAATCCAGAAATTTAGAATGGAATTTTGATAATATTCAAGCTCCAATTCCAGCTCAAACAAACTCTACTCCAAATGAAATTTTAACTTTTTCTGATGAAAAAGCTAAAGTTATCTTTCAAGGATCCTCATCTAGGATTCAAAGATCTAACTCTTCTAGATCATCCAGATCTGAAGAAAGAACTAAGAATTCTTTTCAACTTTCAAGAAATTCTACTTCAACATCTTTTAAAGGAGTAGACTTTACTCCTACAATTCCAAATCCTTTCTATCAACCTAAAGAAAAAGAAGAAGAAACTGAGCAACCAGAATCTCCTACTTTCTCTGATATGGTTCCTCCTTCAAATTCTGATTTTGATCATCAATGTAACGTAATTTCTTCTGAAACTGATAGAAGAAAAGAGTTCAAATATGATCAAGACATTCATGTAAAAAAATTTCGAAAAATTTTTAGACACCAATTTTCTTCAAAAGAAAAAGAACAATTTTGGGAAGATTATTTTGAATCTTCTACAGAATTAAGTTTTTACGATTGGATTCAAATTAAAGTTTTTGGAAAACAACCAGAAAAATCTCAAGTTTTTACTACAAAAACATCTTCAATATCATGGAAAACTCCTGATGGAAATACCTTCCAATCTATTCATCCTCCTTTACAAGATATTTCATATACCCATGGTAAAACTGAAATTCTTGCATCCCCTCTCAAACGAGTTCCAAATTCCAAAGAACGACTTGACGAATCACAAGTTGTTGCTAAGGATATCAAAAATATTCAAGCTCAGAACAATTTTACAAATATTGTTCTTCAATCTGTTTGTTCTCAACTCAACCGAATTGAATCAAATTCTGAATCTGAAACTTCTACTGTACCAAAAGATTCTTTTAAAGAATATCGAGACAGTAAAAGTAAAGATAAAAATATTTCAAAACCATCTTCATCATCCCCGATTTTCAAAAATGACGATATTATTCCTACTTTTGGAAAATCTTCTCAATCTCTTTCAACAGAAAATGAAGTTCTTTCAGAACTTGTCAATCAATTAAAAAAT